CCCCTCACACCCCTCAGACCCCTCATATCCCTCAGACCCCTCAGGTCCCACACCACCCCTCGCCCCTCCTGTCACCCCACGTATCCTCATACCTGCACCTCCTCCTTCTCTCAGCCGGTCCCACAGCCTCACAGTCCCCACACCCCCCGTCGCCCCCCGACCCGTCCCCTCTCACAGCCCGCCGAGCAGCACCTCCGGTGGGTTCCTGCGGCACGGAGCAGCCACCCTGGACAGAGACAGCACCGAGGTGTCTCTGACTGCACTTTGTGATTTCCTGTAGGTGCAGCGAGCAGAGAAACAACCCACCGAAGACCCTCTTCATCACCACACTGCTTCCAGGCACCCAGGGCAAGGGTTTAATGGGGTTGAGAGCAAGCTAAGCCCAAGGAGATGCTTCCCTCAGGTGTGACCAAGTTTGACTTTGCAATAATTCCTGGTTATTTTCACAGGCTAAAACCCTGTGAAATTTCAAAGCACAAAGACACTTGGTTTCCATGCAAGCTTAGGACACCTTCGCACAAACATAGTTTGCTTGAGGCTGGAAGGGATCTCTGGAGCTCATGCAGTCCAAGCCTCCTGATCACCCAGGAACAGCTAGAAGTCACCTGCCACCATTTCTTTAATGTCTCTAAGGATAGAGACTCCATAACATTTCTGGGCAGTCTGTGCCCATGCTTGGTCATCCTCACAGAGAAAAAGAGTTTCCTGGGATTCAGAGGGAGAGCCTTAATTGAGTTTGTGCCCGTTGGCTCTTTCCCTGTCCCTGAGTGCTGCTGGGAAGGGTCCAGCTCTGTCCTGCTTGTTCTGCTCTCAGGTACTGGTGTGCAGCACTGAGACCCCTTCTGGACATTCTCTGTTCCAGGCTAACCAGGAGCGGCTGTCTGAGCCTCTTCACTTCTGACAAAGGTCCTGCGGGCATCTTCTGGGAGACAGTGCCAGAGGCTGTGCTGAAATCCAGGTGGGCACTGTCCACAGCCTTGCCTTGGGCCACTCGGGTCATCGCAGGAGGGCTGTGGGTTGCTCAAGCACCGCTTCCCCTCGGAGCAGCCAGCCTGGCACTTCCCATCACTGAGCCGGGCACTTCTGTTGCTGGGTGCCCGTGGTGGTGCTTATGGAGCGTTCTCACATCTGTGAGTGACAGGACTCCCCGATGGTCCCCAGACTCCAAGGGTATTTCCTCAGAGCGCAGCTCGCAGGGTGTCCTCGCCAACGCTGCTCGGCACAGGGGCTGTGTGAGACCCTGCAGGAGGGTCAGGCTGCCCCACTGACCCCATGTCAGCACACAGTGACACTCACCAGGTGAGTGCAGCACACCAGCACGGCAGCTGAGGGTAAACTGACAGCCAAACAAGCCACCACAGTCCTGCAATGAGCAGCGAGTCACAGCACAGCATCCAGCTGCACAGGACTGATTTCGGCATCACAGGAGAGAGAAGGTTCCAGGAGCAATGTGAAGGGGATTTGTGCCTTGCTATTTTTTAAAAGTGCACGTCAGGATCAATGAAAAGCCTTCATGACTAAGAGCTGGATAAATGGTATGAATAAGCCACTAAGACAAACAACATTCCAAGGGCAGGTTCCTCAGTTACTCTTTAACCTTCTATTTCAAAAACTAAGTTGGGAGAATGTCCACAGATGTTTTGGGGTTTTTTTGCCTGCAGTAGGATTCTAATTATCTTTGTTTCTTTCCCTCTCTACCTCATCCACATTCTTAATACTCAGTCTTTGCCATGCAGCCTCAGAAAGGCATGTGTACTGAGCACCCACTCTTCAGTTTACTGCTCTTCATAGTCCTGCTGTTGGGCTAATTCTGTGAGATGGAGAGGCAGTGTACACTCGTGTATATACCAGCACTCCTGCTGCTGAAACAGTACCACTTCTGTAGTTCTTGCAGCTCTAAATGTCCCCTTTCTTATTCCTCCTTCCATCCTTGCCTGCATTGTGCTGTTGAGCTTGATAGCCAACATGAATCATTGACCAAAAAAAAAAAAAAAAATCCCAAAAACATGTATCAAACCAGCTCTTGGAAGAACACTTTTATGAAGATAATTAGATTTTTTTCTTATAAACATCACCATGGATACTCTTGGTTGGATAGAAAAACAACTATTGGTATCACAAAGTTCCTGCTAAAAGTGAGGAGAGTGGAAAGCCAGAGCAGGGAACACATCCATCAAGCACAAATTTTATCATAAAACAGAGAAGACGTTTGCATATGCATGTGGCCTATTTGTTTATCACACTTCCTGATATACCTCTCCTTTATTTCACTGACAGTTGGGCTACCTGGATATGTACTAGGAAAGTTTCATGGTTGAAGATTTCTAATATTAATTTTAATTGATTAAAAGTGTTTGTCACAAATGAATGTTTAAGGTTGCTCAAGGGATCACTGGAAAAGGTATTTCCAAACCAGGTTTAATAGAAAGTGCAACAAAGTTCACTGGCATGCTTCACTCTGCTACTCACTACATAGTCCAAGCACACAGACCAAAATCTAGACTCAATCAATCTAACATTAAAATCAAACAGAAGTGATGTATGTGGAGGCTGAGGACAGGGGGAAGAGTGAGAATGGGGGGAGACCCAGTCACTGCGTTACAGGGTTCAGAGTGAGCCTCCCCGCAAAATGTAGCCGTGGACTTGACCAAAGCTTTAGGCCTAGAGGTTTTAACAGTACTTACACTTAATGGCACTGAACCGACAGCCTAATTTAAGTAATTTAACAAAGGACCCTGTAGAATTTTCTGGAAGCATGACAGTAACTCATAGAATCTCATGCACTGAGGAATCGGAGAGCAGCACTGCTAGTGCATGTGCTGTAGTGACACGCTCACGGCCCCAGAGCCCGCTCAGGTCCATCCCTGTGGGAAATCCCCCGAGCTCGGGGAAGGTCTCACTTTGGACCAAGGTTTGTAGGGTCACGTTAGTCCAGACTGCGGTTCTGCTAGGAAATTTTGAATGCTCAGTAATGAAAAATGTTTGTCTGCCTGGACTTGCTCATGGGCCAGCAGCAGATCTGGGAGCAGACTGTCTCTGGTAACTCAGGAAGAGCTCAGCCCAGCTGCGGCTCGTCAAGGCCACACGACCTAATGAGCATTTCTGAGAGCACAGTGTGGCCCCAGGAGGGTGATCCTTGACAAACTGTGCCCAAGTATGGACAGGCAGGCAGGCAGGCAAAGGACATACTCGGTTTTCTGGATGCCAGTTGCCAGCAGGTTGCAGGAAGCCCAGCACTGGGCTGCAGACCTGGAGCCCAGGAGCCCTGTTTTGGGAAGATGGTCTCAGAGCTGAAAGCCCTGGCTTGGCACCTGGCAGTCCAGGCACACCTGAGGGGCTGTGGGGTCCAAGTGTCATCAGCCACAGACAGGCCCTTCCTGTGTCCTTGGGGATCCTGGGCATCAACTAAGTCAGCTGCTCCACTTTGTTTATAGGAAAACCAAAGAAAGAAAAGGAAAGTAAACAGTTACATTTGATCTGGCATCCCCAGCCCCTGCCCTAGTTTTGGATTTGGCTTCCCAAGAGAAATTGTAAACACTCTGTGGTGTCTGTTTGGTACTGGCCAGCCTTAGCCTACACCAGCAAGAACTCATCCAAGGGAAGGAGCCATGACTGATTTGTGATGGTGATTGATAGTGATGACATACGTAATTACTTATATATTAATGCACTGCCATGTGAATTGCTGAACATGATGTAAGTCATTCTAGTAATCCAGTAACTTTATAACATATTAGTGCATAGAATTCCTTTAAAATTGGTGAATGAATGGGAAAATATAGAAGCCTAATTAACTTGGTTATGTTGGGATGAAAAAAAACCCCAAACCCTGAAACTATTTTTATTATATACTAATTTGGTACCTTAAATACATTCTAAACCATTAGGTCCAGAGGCAGATGTTTACTGTACTAGAACTGTTTGCTGAGAGGAATGCACTCATGTTGTAAACAACAGTGTTCTTAAAAATATATCTCTTAAATGTAACAGGCACAGCTGCTTGCTTGTTCAAAATCTTGAAAGGGGATTATGGTAGTGATGTAGAGACATCAGTCGAGAGGTCTAAGAGAGAAGTGGAGTGCTATGTTTTGTGCTTCAAAAATAATGACCAAAACCAAACAGAAGGAATTAGGAGCCTATGAAGTGTCTCACAAAAACCCCATGCGTGCGGTGTAAAACCTAGCGAAGTACCTTGTTATGTTATTGGTTTGTTTACCAGGCAATTTGGAGGCGCACGTGGCACTGCACTGTCCCTGCCACCGGGCTCTGCGCGCCCGTCAGGCTCTGGTGTGACACTCTGCCTCCAGGCCGGTGCCCAGGTATCTCCCGGTTTCCATCACGCGTGTTTTGATTAGCTGCTGATGACACGGAGCTTTCTGCCTGGATAAATAATCTCCCTCAAGTGTTTGGTGGTTTTTTGCCAAGTACTTCGATTAAAAAACCGAGCGTGTGTGGGAACTGCACTTGTGACACTTGCAGGAATAATTGTGGCTGGTGACGGAAGCAGGGCTCCCTCTAACAGTTTTAGAGAATATATTGCAATAAATGTCTTGTTCCATGGGCACAAGCCTTTGCAACGCTGCGCAATTCAAGTGCTGCTTTCCTGGGTGCTATAAATCAGCAGGCTCAGGGGATAACTCTCTTTTGCCAGTTCCCACAGTCTGTGAGCATCCTTAGAGCTGAATCTTTCTCATACACACGTTTATACATTGTTGTTTAGATTGCACCAGAACGTTGTCTGTACTTTCATGTCTGGAGCAGCTTCCAAAAGAATCTGAATTATATACTAGGAAAAAAATATAGTGAATTGTGCAGAAAAAAAGTAAAACTGGTCTGCAACAAAAGCAATAGAATTTACATGATTCTGTTGGAAAGATAACCATAATTTCATGAGAGACACTGAGAGTCAACACTAAAGAAATCAATTTTGACTGACTGAAATAGCAATATGCACAAAAACACTCAGTGAGTATAGAACTCCAGTCAAATGGGCTGCCTTCTACCATGATAAACAACTGAACTGGCATGAGAAAAAAAGGGCTTAAAATTAATTAGAAAAAAAATGTCTTTCTAAACTTAGATATGTTACATTAATGAGGTTTTCCACCTAGGACAGCTGATGGGACCAGATCTAAATTTTAATATTTTTGAGCAAAACCTAACAAGAGGAGGCATAGTGATTAAAAGTTCCTTCTTGCTCTCGTGAAAATGAAGCTCTTTTCCAAGCTGTTTTCACAAGCAATCGTTTCCAGGAGCTTCTTTGGACATGTTCAATGAGCTACTGATGCAGAACTAAAAAGACTAAACACTTCTAAAGTGCTCCTTAGTACTGAACAAGCTTTAGTGCAATTCGGTGGCCAAATCCATTTTAAATTATTGAGGTGAAGCAGGGATCTCCAGTGAAGGGCTGGTAATCCATCCACTGGGACAGCTGTCTGAACCCAATGTGAGTGTTCCCAGCAGGGTTTTGTGTGGAAAACTGCATTTGGAGGAAGGATGAACATCAACGGGTTCTGTTTTCATCCAAGTGTCCGTCTCAATTAAACCAATTACATAATTTATAAACGATTTTATGGCTTCTGAATAAAGGCCTCTGCTTGGTATTAGGAACTTGTTAAACTGAACTGCTCAAGGAAGGAAAAGACATTTATTTAGGGCTCCATAGGTAATGGGGTATCATTCATTTCCTGTCCTCCCAGGTTCTGTTTATTCTCAGCTTATATTTACTTTTTACTTTCTCCCCACCATCTTTCTTTTTTTCCACAGCGCACATTAACAAAATATTTATTTTCATACCCACAGCTTTGCTTACTTAGGCAAATATATGGCCCAGTTTCAAGAAAAAACACTTCACCACCACTTAATCAGAAGTAAGCACATACTTAAGAAACATCTATTTGAAATACCTACTTCTCTTGATCAGCCCAGTTCTCTGAACTCCTGTAAATTTTCAATCCAATGGGACAGCTGAAGATATAAGGGACAAAATGGTGAGGACCACTGCTCAAGGACTGAAGATGATATACAAATGCTGTAGCTAAACCATTAAATAATCAAAAGAGGAAAACAAGATGTATGAGAAAACTTAATCTCCTTTAACCCACCCAATTTAACTGGAGATGAACAGGCAAGTTTTGTAAGCTCTTGTCCAAGTCACTTGAAAAAAAGTCCTGAAAATGTAGTCAGAATAGAACTCTGCTTGAGAGCTCATCTATTCTTTTTCCAACCATGTCAATTAATCTAACAAAAGCCCTCTTGTATGAATTTTGCTTTGATGTTGCAGAAAGGAGACAGAATGATCTGCAGAGAACAGAGGGTAGAATAACCCAGGATCACCCCAGAGCCAGCTGAAAAGAAGTGAAGACAGGGAAAAGAGCAGGTTTCCCAGATGCAGAAGTCCCAGAAGCAGAAGCTGTGCACCGAGGGGAGCAGAAGAGCACCGGGCACAGCGACAACCCCCGGGCTCCGGGGTGGGACTCTCGCCCCGGGTGTGGAGCAGCCACCTCTAAACGCCTCAATCCTGAAAACCCCTCACTAAGGACATTCTTTGTCACAGCATCTTAAAGGTGCTAAACCCTGCAGCACTCTTAGTGTTCTCTTCGTAATTAAAGCTGCAGGGCAAACTAACACGGTAGACCACGTATCCTTCTAAGAAACATCAATTTCCTCTTCCCAGCTCTCTTTCTCCTCTTCCAGTCTTCTGTTTCAAGACCTGGCTCTTCAGATTTTTCAGCCAGCCTTACCCTAACTTGGTTGGCTTCATTCCTACAGCCCTCCAGGGCAAGCAGAGACAAATAATGCACACCTGAGTAACAAGGGAGGCATCTCCCAGTTTTGTACTTAACCAGGCTTTGTCGCCTCATCTGTCACCTCTGCTCACCTAATTTTCTGTCCTGATTAAGGAACAATCCTTCCCTCCAAGTCAGCTGCTGCCTCTGCCTGCTCCTGCCTTCTTCTGTTAGCATACCTTTTTAACTACTTAAAAGCTATTTTTTT